GAACCAAAGACTCTTGATTTAAAATATTTGTAGCTTTGTCAGACGTTGTGCTATGAAACTAGGTGTTTTCAGTTAAACTCAGATGAACAAATGTCTGCTGGAGGGAAAACAAAACAAACACAAGTTACAAAATCCTCATTTTTATGCCTACGTGATTTCTCTAGTGTAAATTGTTTCTCTCTATTCTGCAAGTGAACATAGCAGTTTTATTTTCAAATGTTGGATTTTTTTCTTGTTTTCAAGTTTCTGAATTGCAACAATCTTGCATAAGGTTAACTTTTTCTGCCTTTAATTTCATTTGGGATATCCATTTACAGCAGTATATGTACATTAACTAAAATTAAGTTTCTGTAATATCGCTAGATAAAACAAAAGTGGTTCCTTCTGTTGTTTGCTTTAATGTTTAATTTCAAATACATGTACCACAGGGAAGCACTGTATGCCCTCTTTCATGAATCGTTTTAAGGAAATAAAGATAAACATTAATTTCACCCATTTTCAATAAATAGTGGATGGCAAACCTTGTGTCAAGGTTTGCCACCCACCAAGATTTAAGAAATGAACTTAGTATTTTTTTCCTTTGATCGATGTATCAAAGAACAAATTTGAAAGGAAAACGTCATTAACGCGGGTAGGTGAAAACGATTACCGTTCAATTTTTTCTTTAATACGTCGACCAAAGAAAAAAATAAATTTATTTCTTATCATTTAATTATGCTTACCCGTAATAAAATGAAACTTTCTTTGACTTTACTATAAAATTTACGCATCAAAAACACTGCATATGATATCAGAACAACGTTTGCTGAATGAAAATGGTATAGGTAAAACGAAAAAAAAACGATCTCAAATATTGTCATGTCGTTACCAATTTTTCTAACAATAATTAACAGTTCTTTAAAAATAGACTTACCTGTTGTGTTATTATATTTCGCTATATGATATCAATCCAAATAGGTATATTTTTACCCACAAAGTTCGTAAATGTAAAGGGACTCAAATGTCTTAACACTTCTAGGTCACAGAAATTTTGGATTTCAAATGCACATCTTTCCATATCAATTTGAAACCGAACATATAAATACGTATCATAACCTGAAAATACTGTAAAATCTGAGTTTATTTAAGATTAAAAGACGTCTGTCCTCATTGCCGCGGTGTTGTTTTTCTCGATCATTTACGTAAGAATTCACATACTAACGGTATTTTCCAGCTTTGGTAGCATAAAAACATTTCTTCACAGTCCTATTGTTCATACCAGTTGTCTCAAAGATAAACATTTAACATAAATATGCTGATTTCTTTCTTTCTGTCTTTCCCATAACTGTATTGTTGTCATGCAGACGATTTGATTTGTTTTAGCAAAGGGTGATAACAAGGACGAAAAAATTCGAAATTCAGGAAAATATCTATTAATCTAAAAGTAAAACCATTTTATTATTCCTTCAAAAAGTAATCTGAAAGGGGTAAATATACCAGTAAAAACCGCCAAAATAGTTCCGGTGTAAGGACGAATAATGACTCCCGTCGAATAATGACCGGGGGTCATTTTTCAACGACAAAAAATGACCCCCCACCCGTAGAAAAAAAAATCATTTTTTGTTGAAAAAGAGTCCTAGGGGTCATTATTTTATATGTTAGTCCTATAAAAAATTGACCCCATTGAAAACGAACCCCTTTAAAGAGATACAAAATTTATAATAGGTGAAAGGGAAAAATATGCTGTATATTATAATTGTTCTTCCTTCGAGTAATTCATGTATTTGTTCGAATAGACTTGATCTTTGTTCTTCTTAGCACGTAGGAGTAATAAAGTTCCTCATTTCTCTCTGCTGAAATATTGACAAATCAGTTTAAAACAATTAACAATCAATCAATTAATCTTCATTTCTCTGATAAAGGAGCAAACCTAGAAATTCAAAGATGGTACATAAAGTTTTTAATATCTTTTTCACAATATATATATACAGTCTTTGATAGCTTTTTTACAGCGAAACTAATTTTTACATTTTCTGTAACCAGAAAAATACAAAAAGTACTTTGAATTAATTAAGAGATTTACGTAGTCTTTCAATGCTAATATTTGAAAAGTGATTCTTTAATTGTCAAGTAAATAAAATTTCTTTTTAATATTCCTCCTTATAATGTTTGCTTAAAGAATGATATTAATATTCCACTTGTTTTTAGAATTCAGACCATGCAACAATCAGGTTTAAATACTCTTTAATAGGGAAAATTAATTTTTCCTTCATTTCAACTTTTAGCTTGTATAAGTTTAGCAAATCCTATTTGACAATGAAAGAGGAGGAATTTTTTATCTCCCCCTCCCCCCCCCCAAAAAAAAGAAACTTACGTTAAATCAAAAAAAAAAAAAATTGAAAAGCAAAAATATAAATAAAACTCTATACCTTTCAATAATACTGAAAAAGGCTCTAGATAAAATGTTGAAATGAAGTTAAGCCTTCACTCAAGTACTATCACATCATAATTTACTTTGCTATGATTAAAGCATACTTTAAATGTTGTTGGGGGTATACTTGAAAGTATTGTGGCAAAGTAACAGCTGAAAATTAGAATAGTAGATTATTCTAAGCTTATTTTTATTCCCTCCTTATAGAAAAATAAAAGGTAGGGTAGTTTTTGTTCTTGCTTTTGTTGATAATCGACTTCCTCCTAAATAAGTAAGGTGGGTGGGTATAACACCTAAAAATATGCTCTGTAAAGCTATGAGCTAGTGTAAAATACACATTTTAATTCTAATGCAAAAACATTACATGTAGACAAAACCTTGTTTTACTCCACCCTTTTACTCAGTTCTGAGTATATTTTACAAAGAATTTAATATAAAAATCAGAAAAAAACATTTTTTTTTCTTTATACTGTATCATAATATGAAAAGTTAATGGAAGACCATTTCTTTTTATGTCCCTGTAATCGAAGATTAGGGGGTATATAGTTTTATCGTGTCCGTCTGTATGTCTGTCTGTCTATCTGTCGGTGTGTTTGTCCGCAAAAACTTTAACCTTGACCATAACTTTTCATTTAATATGTGTATTTCTTATGACAAGACCTTATTACTTTGGGTACCACCATTTGACCTCTTGACCTTTACCTTGGAGTTTGTTCCATTTTACACAAAAATGCCAAATTTTTACTTAGGCCATATCTTTTAAACGGTAGATACTGGTACTCTCATACTTCACATATGTATTTTTTAGGCATGACCTTTCATTGGATACTAAAAACTTTGACCTTTTTACCTTGACATTGGAGATTTCCGTACTTATGAAAAAAACTTTAACCTTGCCCATAAATTTTGAACAGTGAGGGCTAGGGTTTTCATACTTCACATACGTAATCCTTGTTACATTAAACCTTTCTTAAGAAACCATCAATTTTGACCGTTTGACCTTATAGTCTGACTACCTTTCAAAACTTAGCCATTGCTTTTGAGCAAGTGGTGCTAGGGCTTTCCTATTTTGAAATTGTATTTCTTGTGAGAAGACCATACATTGGGTACCAATATATTTAAATTGCATTTAAGAAAAGTTTAATCTTCGCTTTGTTGCCATACAGGGGCATAGCTGTTTCACAGACACATTTTTTTATATATAAGAGGAGTTGCAGATAAGAAATAGATACCCCAAAGCGTAACAGACGGACGAACGGACATCATGATCACTATATACCCTTCCGCTTTTCAAGCGGAGGATATAATGATATATAATGCTGCTGATTTTTTCTGTCAGCACGATTATTTCCAACATCGAAAAACAATGTTTACCTAATGTTTACCTCACCCTTTAGGCTCGAAAAATCTTTTATTCCTTTAGATTCTGAATCATCGCATTGACCTTAAACTAAGCTATAATTATGTTTTGAGATCAACATATCATCAATTTATTCCAATTAGCTCAGGTGAGCATTTTGGCCAATATGCTTCTTTATCTAATTTTATTTTTGCCCCCTCAGCTTTAATCCACAGAGAGTCATTTTTCTACGGGGGTCATTTTTCTACGGGGGTCATTTTTCTTCACGAAGGTTCTGCAAATTCTTAGGGTGGTGACACTTTTGCTACGGGCAAAAGGGTCATTTTTCGACGTCGAATAATGACCGGGAGTCATTTTTCGACGTCGAATATTGACCGGAGGTCATTTTTCGCTGTCGAAAAATGACCCCCGGTCATTATTTGATGGGGGTCATTATTCGTCTTTACACCGGTGCTTAGTGCAAGCGAACTCTAGATTCCATTGATGCCGTTGTCAAACAATTGTTTTTATAAAATCAGAATCAAGTATTTTATAGAAATTAAATTTTTACACTTGCTTACTTTGCACCGTTTTAAAAGAGCCCAGTCCCAGTTCTGTTCAAGAATTTATACTGTGTTCTTTGAATTCGCCCCATGTTTAAATTTGTCCACTCGTCACTAGGGCGAAAGGGGCGCAAATAAAACAGGGGCAAAATTTCCCTGATTACAGTATTTGTATACCGTATAAACGTCGAGTCTAACGAAAGTGATTTTGTACTAAATTTATTAATCAATAAACACAAAAACATCATATAATATACCAATAATTGCAAATTGTTTACAGGTAAAAAATGGTAATGGCAGTTTGCTATTTAATCTATTAATAATAGTGAATACAGATTGAATAAGATTAATGTATACCAATGTTTCGTCCCACGGGATATCTTTGTACAGATTTTATACAATTGCTTGTATAAATTTACCCAACAAATATTTAAACGATTTTAAAATCTATAGAACAGTGGTAAATCTTTTCATGTGCATTTTTAAATTCATTTTATTAATTGATTGCATGCTGACATCACGGCTTTGTTTAAAACATCTGCGTAAATATTTATTCTTAAGTTTACTATAATTATAATCGGTGTCTATTGGTTTGGTTGAAACATTTTTTATATTTTTTTAGAAAAGATGAAATATATAAAGTATAATATATTCTTAAATTTGTTTTCGAGATCGAAGAAAATTTTATTTAATGCTTTCTTTTAATCAACATCTCCGAAAAGGAAAGATCACTGCCTTGTGAAATAATCCCACTCCATACATAATTGCTATGTCCTCCAGCAAAAGGAGCATTGAGGTTCACAAGAGTACAGTGATTGTACCACCATCCAGAACCAGACCGAGCTGCGCAAGTGTATCTGTCATTGTCGAACGTGGAAAAGGGATAGTTCACCACGAAGTGTACTCTGAATTGATCAACTAGAAATAATAAAAAACGAATATATTTATCCTTGTTTCAATTTTTTTTTAATAGGAATGAAAAACAAATAATACTAATAGATAAAACTAATTAATAAAGAATTTATTACGATTAGTGAAAATAAATAAATATATGTAATCTCCATTTACCAATGTTTCCTGATTTCTGCCCCAGAGAAAGTCTGTAACCATCAGTTTCATTGGAGATGGAAAACAAAGAATATTGTACTTTATACGAATTCTTCTTTGTAGACTCAAATCTGATGTACAGCGAGTTGTTGTACTCTGTTGTCAGCTTATGAATGGCATCGTTTCCTGAAGTTTCAAATTTATTTTATTGTTTTCTTGGCGTAATTATTACATTGTAACATCCTCAATTGATAATCTTGTGTCATACTATTTGAGGCAGAGTCATATTTATTTAAAATAATTTTTAATCTTTATTGAATAACTTACTGAACCATAATTTACTTTACAATATTATGTAGTAGTCTCCATTCATGAATTTTACTCACAAAATCTCATTGGCCAGTAAATTTGTACACCCTTGATTAACCGGTTTTTCTGCTATTACTGAGGCATGGGCCCATCCCTGTCAGTGCAGGAAATTTTACTTACTTGTTACCAGCTGCCCCTTGTCACCACTTGAAGTGTAAGTTTCTTAGTCTATTTATTTTTTTTGTATTTTAATTTTTAAGTCCAAGTCAAGATATCTATCACTACAAGTGATGAAAACTTTTATGTCTGTCGTCAAACACCGAATGTTATCTTGTACAGTCTTGTACAGTCAACATAAAGTATCGTGTTTTTGCGAAAGCTATCTCGACAAAAAGAGATAATTGATCTTGTATCGTGACTAAAAGTTATCTCGTCATAGCTATTGCAACAAAATGTGATAGCTTATCCTGATTGGTCAAGATATAAAGTCGGTGTTTATCGACAAACCAGAAAGTTATCATTACTTAATTTAGGTAATTCAGGTATATGGAAGCTTCACCTATCCAGGTGATTCTGATGGGGAACCAAAGCGTACGGATAAAAGAGGCTCCATGGTACATATACATATATTGTACAAAAGCTTAAGTTTAGATTCTGGTATACAAGGCTTACCAAGCCAATAATTCCCTGGAACATCCCCAAAACCTTGCCTATATTCATTCCAGGTAGTGTTGAAATTTACCCGGGGCATTTCTCGATTCCTGCGCTGAATAACCTGAAGCATCAATTTAAAATTAACACAATATACATATAGTTCTGTAGGTTTCTATACATGTGTACAATTCAATTTGAATCCCAAAATTTAGCATTACCCGAATTAAAAGAAAGACATACATGTAATGGTAATGATAATGCTTAGCAAATTCCAACACGATGAAATTATTTTTCAGCTCAGAGAAGGAAAATAAAAAGTGACTTTTAATTCCATTTTAAGATACAGTAAAATACACTACCGTCCATCCTCCTCCGTCTGTATCCATATCACACAGAACTTTAGTGGAAACACGGGTTTTGAAGGGATATATGTTGTAAACACCGTTTTCCCTCTCTCCACAATTATAGATGTCAAAGCAATCAAGAGGGAGAAAACAATGGATATCTATAAAATACGTATATTATGTTTAATTGAAAAACAAATATACATTTATTATAGCGAGCCTAACGAGCAGCACTACTGCTCGCGAAGCGAGCTCAAAAGACTAATGTGTAAGAACAGCGGAATCAGATCTATACATACGTCAAGCAAATTTTGTGTGAAACCTTCCAAGTATTCCTTTAATTTACAACTAGGATTCCAATGCAATGATGGCGAATAGATAAATAAGATTTAAAAAAAGGTCTTTCAGTTTGTAGAAAATTTAAAAGCAACACAAAAATACTCATGTCTATAGTTTCAACCAAACGCTTGGCTGTTTCTGTAAGCTCCAATGTTTGAAATGACATCGATGTTTGAAGTGTTACACATGAAAGATAGATAACATATTACTTATCCATGTTCATTTAAGGGTGTAGGTAGCTACAGAACTGTAGCGTTATGGTTTTATATATTTGTCTTTGACCATAACATGGTCAAAGAGTTATGGTCAAAGACAAATTTAGAATACCATAACGCTATAGTTCTGCAGCTAGGGTGTACGTACACCCTTGATTGAACCTGGATAACGAATTTATTTCCTATGTACCCATAAACATTCTTTGTAAACATCAGAGTCTAGGCTAATCAACTGTTTCCTACAATGCATCTTGGCGTCATGTTATTAGCTTTTTATCATAGAAAAACTACAGTGTATGCATTGTGACATCATATTTTATTGATCCCCGGCTCATGTCGGGTGCACGGAATCTGTAACCAATTTAAGCTCATGTGACAAGCTACATATTAGGAAATAAATACTACGTGTTCAATAGTTTTTAAACGTTAGGGGATTGTCATAGTATATAGGAGGTGAGTAATTGGTTGGGATATATTCATGTTTTCTTAAATGACCGTGAACTGTCGGAAAATTCACAAACAGAAACATTTACTCAATTAAAGAATTTTACAATAAAACTATTCGTTTTTTTTAAAATCAATTTTATTGATAATATTAATTTCATTTCGAATCGGTAAGCATGCTCACTCTTTCTTGTTAGAGTTTTTTTTTATTAGTCAAAATATTGTATATCTTTGTGATCCTAGAGAATTGAAAATGCATATAGTTCCTACTACGTATTCTAACGCGCGGTGACAGGGTTCTATAGACTTGAACGCCTTGGATTTTTAATGGATTTTATAACAATTAAATATATAACTTTAAATTATTCTTTATATTTAAAAAATATCTGCCTTAAACGTAAGCAAATCAATGTTAGTTAACGTGTACATATGCTGCGATATAAACACAAAGGTAGGTCTAAATAGAGCTTGTTGATATCCTATCCCGAGGGACGTTGTTATTTATCTAATATTAAATTTATTTAACAGGCTAAATTTTCTGCAATTCAAACCGTTAATTCGCAGACTTTTTTGAAGTATCAAAATGTTTTTTGTTCTGGAAAAATTTAAAATTAAAGCGACGGAGACATGCTATTGCCGAAGGCAAACTAAGGCGATACATGTACTGTATACAGAGTTATTTTCGCCCCGTGTTATTTTCGCCCTTTTGCACTTGCTAACAATTTTGCCCCGTTTTAAATACGCCCAGTCATAGTTTTGTTTAAGAAATTATGCTGTGTAATTTGAATTCGCACCGTTTTGAATTCGCCCAAACAGGAAGAGGGCGAAAGGGGCGAACATTTCCCTTTATACAGTATATCTCATTAATTATCTTATTTATTAGAAAATAAATTTTAAAAGTACAAGGAACAGCTCCCATACAGCGTTTATTAACCATCTTTCCCGCCGTCACGCATTTTAACGCATATACAGTCCCTGAAACGTTCTACTTTCCCACCTGAACGGTGAGTGAACGCTGAACGCAACTTGGTGAACGATGTGTGAACGGAAAACGGTGAGTGAACGCAGAACGCGAACGAAGCGCAAACGGTGAACGGTGAACGAACGGTGAACGCAAGATGAACGATTTATTCGGATTGCCTTTAAACTATTCTGTTATATTCTAATGTTAGATGCTAAAATATGAATAAACAATAAACAATAAATAAATAAATGAATAAATAATTAAAAAAAAATTTCTGCACATACGTATGATTTTTTAAATCAATATTTTAATAACACGATTTCTATTGCCGTAAAACATGTGTGATTGTTACCGAACACGTGTAGTATAAAAGATAAAATTAATTCACTAATAAAATAATTCTGCTTATTCTTTAAACTGATAAAATAATGTGGACTTCAGAAGAGAACTACTACTTATAGAATGAATTTATTACATTGTACCACAGTTGTAAAAACTATGTAATATATATTTCGATGCCACGGCGATTCCGTGTAAAATAACTATTTTTTTTCTAGAAAGGTCTGTTGACGTATTGCATAAATACACTCGTATTTTAAAATTTTAATGCAATAACATTATATGTTTATTAGTTATTTTTATTTTTTCTGATTATTTTTTTTAGCTTAGCTTTACATGTAAATATATATATGAAGACATTTCCCGACCGTGATTATACTCGGACAAGATAATGGAAAGAGGCATTGAAATTATTTGTAATAGGTTAAATTTTCAGAACTAAATAAATAATAAATATGTTGTCATAGTTTTTATTTAACAGGACAAATGTAAAAGCAAGAGAAACTTGAGAGAGAGAGAGAGCGATGTAAGCCCCCTCGATTCTCAGATATCTGTTGCATCGAATAAAAATTCATATCATTTTTTTCTAATATTCCAGGCAGTCAAAGTAATCAATTTTTTTTAAGATTAACAAATCCATTTGACAGTAAGCATCGGCTTTTTTTTTCCTTCGTCAAGTTTCCAACGATTCACTCGAAGTGGACGTGCTTGTCCGGTCAATCAAAATAATTCGACACAATGGAGGTGTTTAAATCTCGCTTCACCGAACATGTCGAAGTCAAAGAGTCACTTGGTATTTCCAAGAAGTTTTAACATTTGTTTACATCATTTTATATTTGATTTTCGCTTTTCTACGGAAAAGTTTGGAAGGATTAAGTTTGAAATTGATTTTGAAACATAATCCCTACCAAATCAAAATACCACTGTCGGCACATGTATGTATATAATGACTGATTTGATGTTTGTTTAAAGAATGATTTTTCTGTGTTACATTTACAATACACATTGAATATTAATTAATATATACTGAAAATACTAACTAAGAATTTGATTTCGGGAGAAAAGGCGCCAGGGGGGAGGGGGGGGGGGGCTCTTAATCATACTGAATGGCAAACATATATTTCTAATAATACACTTTATATACGTGAAGTAGAACAAAAATTTTACTTTATTACATTTTAAACAGTTGGTCTTTTCTAAAATGCAAAATCACACTATCAATTTAATTCGCTCTACAAATATTTAATTAACTGAATATCTGCAGTACTATTCATAATTCTCAGACCTATATGTAGTTCTAACATGTTTTCGTGCATTTTTTTTTTAAAAACTTGTTATATAATTTTTTTATGTGTATTCTTGTCTTGTAAAAGACTTGGATATTATCCATCCATTAACGATTTGTCGTCTTTTACATTACAACAAAATGCCGCACTTGAAGTATTTGTACATTGCCCTTATTTAAATTTAATATTTTAGCATCGTTCTACTTACATGTAGGTTCATAATGTATTATTTTCCAGGGAAATTTTATGGATAAAGTAACAGCTAAGTTATATTAATAGAAATATAAATATCGTAGATACTTTTTGCATTGAAATAATTATTCTTCAAACACGACATCTAAGTTATTTAAATAAAAAACGTATAAATCCTTACCATCAAAAAGATAAGTCCTTTCACTTCGGAGTTCCGAATGACAATAAAGACTGAATGATAAGTGAACGGTGGAATCAAGGTGAACGCAAAGTAAACGGAACAAAGAGCGAACGGTAAACGTTTTGTGAACGATGAACGCGAGCGCACGGTAAACGGTGAACGCAAAACTGTGAACGGAGAGCGAACGATGAACGCACGCTGAACAAACGGTGAACGAACGCTGAACGAACGGTGAGCGAACGGAAAAATGGGAAAGTAGAACGTTTCAGGGACTGTGCCATTTCCTATTTCTAACGTTTAAATCATGCATATACCATTTCCCTGCAATCACGCATTTTTCATGCACTTTTATGAAATCTATATTTAATGTCAATTCCTTTCTATTTTGTATTTTCTAAAATAAAACAAGTTTAAATCTTTTTACACGGTTCATTAAGAAGTAAAGAGTTAAAATAAATATGCTGGAATTTTTTGGGCCATCTATTTATTGTCATTCTATGTAAGAGAGAAAGTATCAATTCTTTTCATCGTCCCCTCATTTACTATTGTAACTGATTATACTCTATGAACTAAAGCACAAAACCTACTTTAAGAAGATCAAGTTTAATTTTTTTCTTTTTATTTTTTGTACGTTGTTTTCAAACGTTTTTTTTCAGTTGTTTTTTATGTGTGAATTTTTGAGTATAGAAGGTTTTCAAGGATCATTTTGATTTTAAGCTGCTTTTTCATAATGTTAAACACACGTTTTATGTTATTAGTTATAACGATCTTTAAAACCGATTAGTTGATAAAAATATTTAAATAATCTGTCCCCATTATATAACAAATTGAGGACATTACAAAGTGCTTTTTTGACATTATTAACATTTGTAACTATGTACTTGAACTAGAATTCTGAATGGAAAAAGTTCATAATAAAAAGAAAAGGAACAAGTTCTGATGTAATCTTACCTGACTGGGGTACTGGAAGAACATTCTGTAACTGTAGTCTTGTGGCATTCTGATCTTCACGGAAATCATCTAATGATTCATTTAATGTTTCATCCTGTTTTTGGTTCTCGGATTGTATATTTTGAATAGAGTTAACTTTGTTTTCTAAAGAAACAAGCTTATCTCTTAAAATTTCAGTTATATTATTGTTATCAATAGCATTCGTGACCAAATTCTGAATTTTTTGCACCATAGAAAAACGCAAAGAAGATTCTTTTTTGAAGATATCCCGTAAGATGCTGGATGTTTTTCCAGAAGTTGGACTGCGAAGCAATTGTTTTTCCTGTTGATCATTTCCAAGTGAATAAACGTTTCCAAATAACGCAGAAATAAAAAGATATAAAAGAAAAATAATTTCTTCTTTCTTCATTGTTATTAAAATGTGCGTTGCAGAAGCACAGTCTTAAAGATGCTGGTTGTGTTGAGTAGTGAGTTTATATTCCAGAGGAGGCGTGGTCTCTTGAAATTAATGTTACTTGATACAATCAATAAAAACCTTGCTTCCAATGATAACAGCATCTGAATCTTTACTTAAAGGTTAGTCATTCTACATGTATGAACTTCAAGATCTAGTACATAGGTTAAGGTCGACTGCTTTTGTTCCGTGCAAGCTCGATTATGAGGTCTAAGAGGCTGTACGTAAGCAATAATAATACACACCTAAGATTGCAAAGAACTGCAATATTTAAACTAGACATTAATCTGTTCCTATTGAAATTGGAAGGCTGAATTATAAGGTTTTTTAATTGAGTTTACTAAAAATTAAGTCCTGATTCATCTTATTTAACCAAGCTAAATCTTTAAAGAATCACTGAAAGGATGTAACTGTAGTGTAGTATTTTCATTAACGTGATCTTGACCTTAACATTTAATGGCCTTAAATATCTTATGTATTGTACATAATATACAATATGCCTTTTCAACATTACATTCTACATGTATTTTCATTTTCCTATTTACTGCACAGCTTAAGTCACATATTCATTGACACCGCACTCTGTCAAAATTTATCACATATTACATGTAGTATCACACGGAGTTTTTTTCTGTGTACATAACAAAATCTGAATATGATTCTGCAACTGAGTGAGTTAAATGTAGATGTATAATTAATGCTCTCTTCTACACAAGGTGATAAAGAACATAAACAAAAAAGCCTCGGCACAAGGGCATACTCTATTCATTTTTACAGATTCTAGATAGAAACAGATATCCTAGAATGACTGATATGCAAGGTTGTACAAATATCGACAGTTCTGTTCAGTGACTATTTATAAAGTTTTGGGCTGAAACTGGATAAACATTTTCTGTCTAGTTTTCTTGAGTTCCTATCAAATAAGAATTCAAAGTGCCTTCGATTTGTGCAGCACTTAACCTTTTATTAATTTTGAAAGTTTCTTTCTTTGAATTAAACATTATTTAATCATAGTTAAACAGGGTATGCTATTGTGCCGAATGTGTTTGCTTATGCGTTTTATAACCTAGGGTTGTAAAGAACAATGGCCTAATATGATGCTACAGTGTACTGGGTCTATACATGTAACTTGTCTTAAGAACTAAGTATGTAAAGGAATGTGAATCTCACTTTTATCTGTATAAATCAACTTTTTGGCGCCCATATTTGCTAGTTTGCACAGAATTTGCCTTAACTTACCTGTGTTTTTGACCAGTCCGGATAGAGTAATACCAATGTGAAGAGATTTTTTTTCTTATTTCTAATTTTTAGATAGAACGGTGCATCATTTGATACATGATCTTATTCATGTATTGAAAGTGAAAATAGCCTTTCATTGATATTTTTTTATTTTTAAATGTATTGTGTAAGAACATATGCAGTAAACTTGAAGTTTGCGTTACTCTTAATCATATTATGTTTCTAGATATCTATTGTGTAAAGATTAAAATAAGTGGAAAATGTTTTTGAGCAAGAAATATCTTCTGTCAAAATGTCCTTAATATAACAATGTCTGAAGCAACTCCAGTTTTGTATGTGTATTTGAGAACAACTTTAAAGAAAACAACCTGTAAATTACTGTCTTAAGAGAAATAATCCAAGTTTTTTGTTTAACATAAAAAAGATATGTTCGTGCAATGGGAAGCTGTGATAAATGATTCACTTATCAAATTAAATCATGAAATTGACGTTAATGAGGAATATAACATATCACCAAGAAGAAGGTACAGTTTCAATACAAATTAAGCCCGATATTTTTCTAAAATATGAAAGTGATATAAGAAATCAAATTTCATTCTTTCTTAATCATAGGAATTCATTTGCAGTTAGAATATACAAATCGTTTTTCTCATATTACCTCCTTAATGCTAATTGTGACGTCATTAACTTGTACATTTTTCCCATATTTTCGTAAAAAGTTGCAGGAGACATCAATTTTCAGTGGTATTTTCTTCAAGAAAACATACTCTGCCACCGTCGCCCGGAAAGATTTTGAGATATTTGATTTTTCAAAGCAGTTTACATAATATATCCAAAAAATAAAGTGGGCGACGCTGGCAGACACTATTTTCTAAAGGAAAATTAGCACAGAAATGAGTCATTTTAAGGCTTTTCTACATTAAACCTAGAAATGCACCAATTTAATGACGTCATAATTCCAGAAAGGTCCTCCTTCATGCCATATTCTTTCATGATTTATCATATTCAACTACTCAACAATTGTTAAAGCCAATTTCATAACCTTTTAAGAACATTGAATTTTTAGGGCACAATAAAGCTAAACCGAACCTTCTTCATTATATATATTAAAGGAACAACCAGATAACCTACATTCAGTTCGACCTTGATATATTTATAGTTAAAACATGGAGAAAAAAAGTTTTTCTTCCTCTAAGAAGAAAGATTGGAAATACATATCATAACAAAAATTGCACTAAAATAAGATTGTAATGTATTTATGTGAATCCGCACTATTCAGCTTATTAGAGAGATAACAGATGCGTCTGAACCACTAGGGTGAACTTTTAACCTGAGCGATTCCCAGAATATACCATTCATTAGAATGCGGTTGTTTACTAATGTCTATGGGAAGATGTATTTGGTCAGGAGGAAGAAGCAACCAAGGAGATTGGGGGTGATCAGAGTTCAGGTGTTTGAAAAAATTATCGACAGAAAATAATATTTCAAGATTATGCAAAAGATTGGTAATTATTTTAAAAGTGCATTAAAAATAAAAATACTGAAGGTCAGAATAAAAGTAATTACAAATTCAAATTCAGATTAGAAATAATTATTGCAATTTTAAAAGAAATACTAAATCATGCAGGGCACGCACGGGGGTATAAATGTAACTCAGTGAGACAATTCGGCAGTGGAAAGCTGGATTTTGTCTCTTTCTGGTTGCATTTATACAGATTTTTTATATTGTTGACGCATTGTGCCATCCGGTCATTCTGGGAACTGATTTCATGAAACAACAAAAAGCATGTTTAGATTGGGGCTCAAGAACTTTGCACTTGCAAGAATTTTTAGCTCATATCAATGTTGTCAATATTAAGGCAGGATTGGCAAGAACTGCCAAATCAATGATCATTCCGCCAGACTCTATGATAAACATTCCTGTTAGATTATCGCGTACTAAAAACAAAGCCACGGTGCTATTAGAACCAAAGGCTAGTAAACGGACAGGTCTTGCGGTTGCAAAATGTGTGGTTATAAATAGACCTAGACAAGTGTTTATGCAGGTCACGAATGCTTCAAATGAGCAAATAAATATTTACAATCATAGCATCGGTGAATCCCTTTG